ACCCAACCCCCCCTCAGAACAACGGCTCCCAGATCACAAACCCCTACGGCCGCACCAAGCTCTTCGGCGAAGCCGTCCTCGCCGACCTGGCCCGCGCAAACCCCGCCTGGACCATCGTCGCGCTGCGGTACTTCAACCCGATCGGCTGCGACGCGTCGGGTTTGCTGGGGGAAGACCCGAAAGTCAGCCCCTCGAACCTGGTCCCCGCGCTCGTGGACATCGTCACCGGCAAGGGCGACGAGCTCCTCATCTTCGGGGGTGACTGGGATACGCCGGACGGCACCCCGATCCGGGATTTCATCCACGTCAGCGACGTGGCGAGGGGCCACACGGCTGCGTTGGCTGCGGCGCGTGAGGGCCGGGTGCGGGACGGCTTCCGCACGTTCAACCTGGGCACGGGGTCTGGGCATTCTGTGTTGGAGCTGATTCAGGCCATGGAGGGTGTGTCGGGGCGGTCGATTCCGAGACGGGTGGTGGGGAGGAGAGCGGGGGATGTTGGGTCGTGTGTTGCTAGTGCGGATCGGGCGGCGGTGGAACTGGGCTGGACGACTGAGAAGTCGCTGAGGGATGCTTGTGAGGATTTATGGAGTTATTTGCAGGGATGAGTTGATGGTAATTGATGGAGGTAGTTTACTCTTTAGATAGATAGCTAATTTCGTAATACTGAATGTTGATATGCTCCTGTTGTTTTTATAGTAGAAGTACAGCATTATATATGAGGCTATACTGCTATCTTGATTCACATCTATTTATGTCTACTACTTAATGACATTCTGACTGTCTCCAAGGCTATACATTATAATGGATGCTTCATTGTCCTAAAGGATTCATGGCTTGATGTCCTATGATGTCATATATCCCAGTACCCCGCCATCACTTATCCTATCTCTCTTTCTCTTTCTCTCTTTCTCTCTGCTCCCTATGGTGTCTGATCCTGCTCTTGATATCCATGTTGATCTGATCTGAAGAATTTCGGCCGAAGAAGACATCTGATTTGCCAAAATCCGGGGATTCTATCTGCACGTTCCCAATTCTCGACCCTGATTGGCTGACTCCACATGGGGATGGCCTGACTGATTGCCTGATTTGGCCGAGAGATGCCTGGAACTCCAAAGTTACTCCCTGCACGTGTTTCTCTCCAAAGCTTATCCTCCTACATATATCTCGCTTTGGCCAGACTGCAAAGCTATCTCCTCTCTGATCACATATCCCTCCAAAGCCAAAAGTATATCAGCATGAACGTGTTCGACGAGAAGAGCGGTCGCATCGCCCTCTACACCTCACCAGGGGCCAAAGAGGGTGCCACAATCGCGATTCTGATTGAGCTCCTGAAGTATCCATACCCGAGCAGCCCACTTCCTATAGCAACTTACTAACGGCATAGACAACCCCATTGCATCCACCTCGTCCACACAGTCCAAGACATCAAACACGACGATGCGAGCGCCTATACCAGTCTCCCCGTCATCTTCGACGTAACCAGCGAAGGCAAAAAGACCAGCGCGTCCGGCTTGACCGATATCACCCGCTACCTTCTCAGCAAATACGACCCCGAGAACCATTTTTCGTACAAGGAGGGGTCCAAGGAAGCCGAGGAGGTGGACCACTGGATTGCGTTCCTGACGAAGACGATCCACGGCGACAATGCGGACGAGTCGTTCACGCGTAAGGCGCTGCGGCTGTATTTGCACCTCGAGGAGCATCTGCAGAAGACGCGGTACCAGTACCTGGTCGGGAGAAAGTGGTATGTCTCTAGTCCGATGTATAAGCGCTGCTAACAGGTGTAGTACACTGGCCGATCTGGTGATTTTCCCGTATGTTGCGGGTGCTAGCGAGGCGAACCTGGATCTCGAGCGATTCCCCGAGCTGACGAGCTGGCATGATCGACTGGTCCGGCAGCCTCATGTGGTCAAGGGCATGAAGGACGTATATCTGGAGACGTAGGCTACTGTCTGGTTTGAAATGCGAGTTATTCTACTGCGAGTTATGTGATATCATGTATTAATGTCTGAATGTATGATTCTGAGCTGTCCAAGTACATTAACATCCCGACACAGCATCCAGCACGTCTGTCACCTTCTTGATATCCTTGTTCTCCACCTCAATATAATGCCTCATCGCCAATGCCGTCACAACAACCATCTCCACGAACCTCTCATCTCCCTGGACAAATACTTCGATCTGCTGACCCTGTCCTTTTAAAGACAGCTTCTTGTTGTATCGTGCCAATAAACGCCGCTCACTATCGACTAACTCCAGTTTGCTCCCTCCCCATGCGTCGGGCTTCCATTTGAAGTGTCCTAGAGGCGGGTAGTCGAAGTGGTGGTTGTCGCTTTTGAGGAGGTCGCGCTTGAGCATGAATTCTTGTGCGTGAAGACTGACGTCCATCTTGCTCGAGGGAAACTTGTGGACGGTGCAGGTCCCGATGGGGATGGGGGCGGGAGCCCACGGTCCACCTAAGCTTCCGG